GAAAATTGCCTTCACCTTTTTAGCTCTCTAGTTCTTTGTGCCAGGGATTTGCACATTCATATGCACATAATTGCATCCATCTGCCGAAGTGAGATCAAAGAATGTTTATTTTAACGGTTAATCCTAAATGAAGAAAACTGTTGCACCGGTTTGTCCTTTAACCAGCTCAAGATCATTCTTTTATTCTGCTTCTGTCAACTAAAGACTATGCTTGGAGTTTGTGAGACTGATACTTTAAATGGCTGTAATTGCATCACAATGCCTTCATCTTGAATACAGATGCTAGTTTTGATTTCTTTTTTGGTTTAATCAACATTGCTTCACAACTGACATATATAAAGCTACTCCCTTTTCTCTTTCAAATTTGAGCCTGAATCTGCAGTTGTTTCTCAGTAATTATTACTCAACTGAGTGGTCTCAGTTAAGCAGTTAAAAAGACTATTAAATTGAACAAAGTCACACTGATGTGCAATATAGAAAAACTGCTTATATTGACTCAGTCCCATTCTAAGTGAAGAGGGAAGTATTTTTGTACAAATATGTAAGAAATAAAAATCAGTGTAGAAGGACTCCAGAGGACCATCCAGCTCTGTTTCTTCCAATAGAATCCCCAGCTAGGGAGACGAATACAAAATGTGAGTCTCTGCCAGAAAACTCACACATTGAAAGGATTCTGGAAAATAGAATTTTCTCACTGGTATCTGTTAAGAATAAATGAATTTTTTGACTGTCTGACAGCCTTACTCTGAACTGTAACGCAAGCTAGAAGTATCAAAGAAAAAACATCTCCCTTTAGTGGGAGACTTTTTGTTTTCTTCTTTCCTCTTTCTTCTGTGGATAAAAATGAAAAATCCAGCAACCCCGATGATACAGCGTAGCAGAGAGGCTTTATTCCTGGACACCTTCTCTCTTGCTAAGCCAGTTTGGATATCACCAGCTGTACTAGAGCTACTATTGTTTGCCTATGCTGAAGTTTTAGTTCTTATCTCACTTTCTTTTCAAGTGGCCTGCATATAAAAGCTGTTTTACTCATCTACACTCTAATTCTGCTAAAACAAAAATGCAAAAGATACCATAAAGTAAGAGAACATCCATTAAAGTGATTATAGCATTGTCACTTTCAGGAAAAATTCCCTAAGATTCAAAAGGGACTGTGGTTTCTTGACTTCAGCATAAAAGCTAGCAGGAACACAGGGACGCATACTCTGTGGAGACAAAAGTCAGTTCCTCTTTTCACTTGTCTGATTCATTCTCTTTCGCAGTCCATACACCTAGTGCTGCCAGGCTTAAAAGCATCCTTACTTTCTCAGAAATCAGTATATCAGGTGGAAAGAAAAATATCAAATCCCATCTTTACCGCCTCCTGAGAAAAGCAGGGCAAATAAATAAACAAATGGAGGTACAAGTATATCTTGTATGTCATCATGGCTCTTAACTTGCAAGATAGTCGTCATATTTACAGATTTTAAAATGGGAAATGCTTCTTCTATCCTTACCATGAATCCTGATAAGTGGATGTACATTCAGGATCAGCCCCTCTCTGACCTCTCTTCTCTTTTGCTGTCACTATGCATCATTTGCCTTGGTATACAAAGGGAGAAATGAATTTTACATAGGCAGAAAGGTTATAATATATTAAGTAATAATTATTTCCAGAACAAACTCGGGAAGACTAATTCAAATCTTTGCAGAAGAGGAAAAGCTGAAGGAGGTGGAAAAGAAATAGAAATATTCCGACTTACAGTGATGCTTTTATTTTTGCATTTGACTGCTCTGATGTTCTACTTTGTTCCTACTCAGCCAAACAAAACTATGAGGTAACTTATACAGAGAAATTGTCTGTACTTTTTTTTTTTTTCCATTCAAATTGAGTTGAAAAAATACCCCTGCATCATAACATAATTTATTACACAGAAAGATGGGGTCCCCGACTTCTGCCACAGAATAGGAAGCAAATATATTCTTCATGATGTCAAACTAGGCAGTCAAGATCTTTGAAGAGTTGTCCAGAAATGTAGAGAGATACTAAAAAAGGATTTACTTCCTAGCTAGTAAGATTTATTGAAGACAGGAGTTCATGTATAATAGCATTTCGAACTGCAGTGATTCCTGTATACATTTCCTTAAGAAAATAATGCCTGTACCTGAATACTTCAGGGCAATGTTCTGCAGTCTTCAAGTCTTAAAGTTGTGGGTAAACAGAGAAAAAAATAGGGTTAATAATGAGAATGGAAAAAATTCCATAGACCTGTTTCAGTAACAAATCTGTGTCACAGAGCATTTCTCTGATTTCTGCATAATTGCTGTCAATAAGGTAATAGGTTTAATACTTGAAAATATCTATGCGACTACATATGTACGAGCTCAAATACCCACTGAGATACATACTTTTAGCTGCTTATGTTTAAAAATCATATTATCTTCATGTACTAAATTAAGGTACACTGAAAGGGTTATTAGGAACAGGCTGCCCAGGGAAGTGGTTGAGTCACCATCCCTGAAGGTATTTAAAAGACAGGTAGACATAGTGCTTAGAGACATGGTTTAGTGGTGGTTTTTGTCAGTGTTAGGTTGATGGTTAGACTAGATGATCTGAAAGGAGCCTTCCAACCTAGGCAATTCTATGATTCTAAAGTTTGCCTATTATTAATTCAAGCACATTTGTCTATTTTTTAAAGGCAATAATAAAAAAGCAGAAATATGTATTGTAATTTTCATACAACACCCTGTATCTGCCATGCTAAGAATGGAGTGGTAGCACCATTTAGATAGCAGAGAAGTACATCTCCCATTTCTTCACTGTGAATTTTAAGCTCAGATTAGCACTGTAACATGAATTTAGAATGTGGGTTGATGGGATGGAAGAAACAGGGGTGGTTTGGTAATAATTTAAATAATCATGCCCAGTTACTACTGAAAAATCATCAGTGCTTCAAAATTATTATTGGACTTAGAATCAAACAGTACTTCCAGGAGTTCATTACTTGATAATGAAAGGTCACATATGATTTGAAATTAAATCTGTGGCAATCGTGAAAGGCAAAAATACTTTTAGTGTAAATATTATTGTTATTACTGGGGATGTGTTACAGGCTCAACTCTGCACTAATGTGGAGAGTACATTGCAATTAAGCACCCAAAAATTAGTGTCTCCTGAATGGCAAGAGCCCCCACTGACTCGAAAATACATGTCAGATTTCCAATGAAACCAAAGAGTTCTAGACAGCTAAACACTCTTGAAGATCTATTCTCAGTCCTTGTAAGTCCCTTCAATGACTGAACACTTGAGAAGAGCAGCTCAGCCACAGCAGAAGTGGAACCTTTCTAGGAGAAGTACCAGGGATCCTTAGCCTGCATACTGCTCTGTTTGGATGCGCCCTGACACCTGGAAGCCCATTGCATTGAGTCTGGCAGCTTTCCAACCTTGCTGTCCTTGCTCATGTGCATAATCCTTACCTTACTAAATAGTGCATCTTTATTCGTCTTGAGGTACAAAGTTTTAAAGTTACCAGAATCAGCTTTGATGGGTCTATGGACTAAGTGAGAGTTCTTATGCATGCTGACTTGCTGGCTGGTCCAACACAAGATTACTAGAATTCATGTGAACTACTAGATCTGCACATTGCAATTTTAATACTTAATTAATAAATTTGAAGTCACATTGCAACTTGTGGAATTTTTACAAATTGCATTCATCCTCTTTGAGTTGTTAGTACTGATTTTATTGATTAAGACTTACAACATCTGTATGAAAAATAAGATATAGCTCAGTAGCTTTGAAGGGATTGCGCTAGAATTTGGGCAATATGCGTTTCTTATTCCGAAGTGGAAAGAGCCGAGGTAGGAGTCATGGACAGTAAAGAGGCTTCTGAAGAGGTCAGATGAGGACATTAGCGCAAGGACTCCGTGCGCCATCTCTCGGTGAAATCTGGAAGGCTTAGGGCAGGGTGTTTTAATCTCTGCGTATGTATCCTCCTCTTGAAAAGGATTGCCATGCTCTTTGTAGAATCATTGAGTTATACTTGTCATCAGGAAAATTATCAAAAATATAACTATCGAACAGACAAGAATAGTTTTCCGTGTGGCGAAAGTTAACTTTGGACAATGTTACGGCTGTCCGAAAGCGCTCATCCAACGAGCAGCAGTACCGTGATTTAGGTATTTGTGGTCAATCACTTCCAGCTCCTCACTGGCATATTCCTGTGGCACGAATCAGCCCGTTATCTCGTATAGCACGGGAAGGGAGATGGAAAATCGAACTCTTGTTTTAAAAGCCTCCCAGCCCATTAGTGGCACAAACAGCAGTTCGCGCTAGAACTACCAGTTTAATAATCCCCAGTGCCGCTCCCTGCCTGGGGCCCATATCACCTGTCACACCGGTGCGATCGGGGCGCTCCGGCCGTGCTTCCCCCCTCGTGTTTGCAAGAGGATTTACCGGGGGTAGGTTCGGAAACGTTTGTTCGTGAGGGCGCACGAGGCAGAGGCTGAGGTTCGGGGGGAGGAAGGTCCTCCTTTCGGTGAGATTTTGGCCGGAGGTCTCTCACAGGCGGAGGCCGGCAGGCGGCCTCGGCGCCTTGCCACGGCCCGGCTGCGAGGAGTCACCCGCTCTCCTCGCCCGGTAACGGCGGATCCCAACCACCGAGCTGGTTTGGGCTGAGGATCCCGCCCGCGGCTCTGCGGGAGGGAGCGGAGCGCGGGGCCGTTGAACGCGAGGAGAAGGAGAAGAGGCCGCCACCGGGCACCGTCCCGTCCCCGTCCCTCACAACCTGTTACTTTAACGGCCGGCGGGGCGGGCG